TAGTAGGAGTGATTTGCTCATCTTTGGCCTTTACAAAAAAGTTGTTGATCATCGAGGGCTACATTTTAATCTGAAAATTTCGGGTTTTGGAGCACGTTGGGTTTTGCCATCTTCTTCTTTGAGGCTCCGAATTTGAGGTAGGGATATCCTACTCCTCTCTATGGATTTTGTCTTTAAATTTTAGTATTTTGAGATGTTGGGTTTGGTTGGGTAATTTTGTGAAAATTTGGGGCTTTTGTGTAATTTTACAAAAGATGGGGTTTTATCTACAATAAACCTAGATGCATGTTTGGCAAGGAGAAATGATATAAATGTTGAATCATTGTTGAAATTGGAACCTTAAGGGTTGAAATGTTAATTATGGTAATTGACCTATTTACATGGTTTGATTAATTAGAATAATTAATTGTGAGAAATGAGGAAATGAAATGTTGATTGAATATCCATTGTGCATTTATTTTCTATTTAGAGATAACTGCTTTGGGCTATCGGTGGAGGATAGTCGTGATTGTTGTAGACAATGCATGATGATTAGGCAAACTGAAACTAATCAATGGAATGTGTCATGGAACTTGACGGTTGATAGAATACATTGTTTGTATGTATTGTGTGATTGTATATAGGACCAATGTGTTTATATACGTTATGTGTAGAGGAGTAGATAGGGGATGTACTCCGCGGTTTAGGGGAAGATAGGGGATGTACCTCTAAACCGGCTAGGTATTGGGAGGAGATAGGGGATGAACTCCGTAGACAGAGCTCATATGCTTGTCTAGAGAAGTGAAGATAGAGCTCATATGCTTATCTTTGTGAAGTGTGGATATAGCTTATATGCTTATCTGTGAATATTGTTGTTAAACATATCTGTTGTAGAGTGTGGATATAGCTTATATGCTTATCTGTGAATATTGTTGTTAAACATATCTGTTGTAGAGTGTGGATATAGCTTATTTGCTTATCTGTGGATATTGCTGTTATACATATCTGTTGTAGAGTGTGGATATAGCTTATTTGCTTATCTGAGAATGTGGATAATATTGTTATACATATCTGTTGAGAATGTGGATAGAGTTTATATGCCTATCTGTTGAAAAAGGGAAAATGAAAGATAACTTGGACTCATAAGTCGTATGACATAAATATGTGATTTATGTGAATGTATCCGTGTTGGCCATCTATCAATTACTAATCTTTTAGTCATTGTTCATGGTTGGTTTAGTATATTTATACTGGGCTGTGGCTCACCCTATATGGGAATATCATTTTCAGGTGCAGGAAGCATGCCACCTCCAAGGACATAGCTTGGGAGGCTAGAGGCGGACATACTGTTGTCGTTTTACTTTTTGATGTATTACATGTAAATTCAAGCCAAGGGCTTAATGTGTATGAGTTAGTACTCTTTTTGTTGTAACCAAGTGTTAACTTGGAAAGCTGTAAGCCCGTAGGGCATTTTGCTTTTGTTGTTAACATGTAATACTTATGTACTGAAACTCTCGTAAATGAAAGGATGTGGAACTTTTGTACATCAGTGCATGTCTTATTTAATGGGTTTAACGTTATTATTTGAGGGCGTTACAGGTGGGAAACATTACCTGCAGCAGTAGTGGACTCCCCGCAAATCTGGTCATCTCTCGATGATAAAAGGCGTCTAAGCCCATCAACGTCTCTGCTAGAGTCATGGCAATGCAGCTCTTGCCCTCCTTCAAGCCTAGGGTAACCTCGATCAATTGGACGCTAGATCCCCCAGAGCCTGAGGAAAACAGAAAATGAGATAGCATGCACAAACAGAGGGCATGTCGCCGGAAGCCTTGCCAATGATGGTCGCCGCGGTCACCGGTATCCGAAAACCGATGAATCAAACTCGGAATATCTAGCATTCCGTCACAAATCAGAGATCGGGCGTCATACATAGTGAGTCCACACATTCGCCCTAAGGTCTGAACATGACCAAAGTTAAGCTGGGGCAAGATCTCCTCGTCACGCTCGGATTCCATTAAAGCTTGAAAATCTTCAAAGGTAGGGCGTACTTCTTGCCTGCTAAAGCTAAAGACTTGAGTCACCAGGTTCCAAAACCTCGCTGCGGCATGAAGAAACGGAAAGTGCAGCGGAGTGCGACTTAGAGTGAATAGTGCATTTATGCCGAAACCCCGGAAATTCAGCTTTTCCGAGCCATCCAAGTTGGCAATCCAAGTGTGTTAATCAGGACGAGAGATTCTGGGCAAGGAATCCCTCCATTTCGAGCAACATCAGTGGTTTAATTGAGTTAGCAGCTACGAATGCTGGGGCCTTTTGTAGGGATAAGATGAGTTGGAGGATACTCGGTGTCAACATTCTGGTTGATTCTTTCATTCATGGCCGTACCAGCCAATATAGTGCCGAACCAACCACCACTTTTAGGTGGGTGCGGGACAAGTTATCGATGGCCGATGGCCTCCCACCCCTTGGCGGTGGTCTTCCTCCATGTTCTATGAACTGTTTATGCTGAGAATTTGGGGAATGCCACCAATTCCAAGGCCCTCCGATGATGGATTTTGCAAGCGTCACCTATTTGCTTATCAGTTGTTATAAATTTGCTTATCGAGTTGATTTTCACTCTTTTCAAGTCTTTGTTGCTTGTCGAGTTGTGCTCGGCACGTGGCTAGCTTATTGAGTTCGCGTTGCTTTGCTTATCGAGTTGTAAGTCAGTTCACTACCTGATTATTACGATGCGAATGCTCAATTTTCAAACCGAGTTCAATTTCATTCACATTGTTATGTGATACCATGCGATGCGATGCATAGGAAGCACAAATGTAACATCATTTTGAATAAAATGGTTGTTTCATTTCCCTCATGTGTTTTGCAAAATACACATTTTTGAAAAGGTAAAACCTGCTTAAGGCAGTGCAATGTGTTTAAACTACTAATAAAAAGGAAAGTAAGGCAAAAGAAGAGCAGGGCAGCAAAGTATCGGAATTGATACTGGTAACCTCCCCTTATGAGCAATGCATCTCCTGCGCCCTTGTTCGGGTCAACTATGTGATTTGGTGCCTTCATTACTTGAGACAGTGCAAGAAAGTACACTTTCAGAACATTAGTAGGCCTTCGAGTTGACCTCAAGCCGTGTCTTCTATGAACGATGCTCGGTACGCGCAAGGAACGTCCCTTCTTGTATCCTTTTCGTATCTTGTGAATTCCACAAATCGCTTCAATTATACCATGTTACAGTGCTTGGCATTTCAACATCATGAATAACTGGTCCTTACCAATTTCAAGTTCCTTTTATACACATTGCTTGCGTAGACCTCATGCTTTACTTATATGTGTTCAATTTCAAGTTTCTATACACATTGCTTGCGTAGACCGCATGCTTTACTTACATGTGTTCAATTTCAAGTTCCTTTTATACACATTGCATGCGTTCTTGCGTTATGCTTTACTTACATGTGTTCAATTTCAAGTTTCTATACACATTGCTTGCGTAGACCGCATGCTTTACTTACATGTGTTCGAGTTCCTGTTGGAACAATCTTCTGTGTAAATAAAATAAATAGAAACTAAATCAAACAAAATAAAATAAAACTTACAGAATTTATTTTGTCGAATCAAATGAAAAATAAAAGACCAAGTCGAGTGTGTGACACTCTGTCTTTAAGACAAATTCGCCCCGCTATGGTGCTTACAGTTATGTGGTGTCTATCTCCCATGATACAATGATCTTCACAAATTTATAGTAGCACTCCAAACAAATTTGTACGGCGAACCAAACCTGTGTTCTAACTCTCTGGATTTTATTCTAAAACTAATATGAAGAATAATGCACTAAAGATAAAAGTTTGGACAGCAAAAGAATATTTTTGAGACTGATTTTCGGTGTCGAAGACTGCTGGAAATGGTCTGAATTTATAGGCAAAAATCTGACTCGAACAGGTACCAAATTGAAGTGAAAATGTGCACATTTAAATTGAACAGGTGCAAGTACTATTCAAACAGATAACTGTTGAATAATTGATTTGTCCGTTGCTTAGAACAATTTTTCAAACAGTTTGAAAAAAGTATCCGTTGGTTGGACAGTTTTTAAACTGTTGGAATATTTTTATTAAACTGTTTGAACAGTTTAATCAATAAAAGGAAGAGGTACATTCTTAGGAAATCACTTAGGAAACCAAAATTTGAATTTAGATTTAAATTAAATTTCCACATTAATTTTTTTATTTTTTTATTTTTTGAAAAAATTCAAATGAATTTTGTCTAAAAAATTAATGTTAGACCCGAAAACGACGTCAACTTCCCATTCACTCATAAATGGTTTTGACGTTTCGTCTTCACCGTGCGACTTGCCATGCGGCAAGAAACACATCACCTCTTCAGACCCAACCCAACGGATACTTTTTTCAAACTGTTTGAAAAATTGTTCTAAGCAACGGACAAATCAATTATTCAACAGTTATCTGTTTGAATAGTACTTGCACCTGTTCAATTTAAATGTGCACATTTTCACTTCAATTTGGTACCTGTTCGAGTCAGATTTTTGCCTATAAATTCAGACCATTTCCAGCAGTCTTCGACACCGAAAATCAGTCTCAAAAATATTCTTTTGCTGTCCAAACTTTTATCTTTAGTGCATTATTCTTCATATTAGTTTTAGAATAAACTTTAGAGAGTTAGAACACAAGTTTGGTTCGCCGTACAAATTTGTGAAGATCATTGTATCCTAGGAGATAGACGCCATATAATCGTAAGCACCGTAGCGGGGCAAATCTGTCTTAAGGACAGAGTGTCACACACTCGACTTGGTCTTTTATTTTTCATTTGGTTCGACAAAATAAATTCTGTAAGTTTTATTTTATTTTGTTTGATTTAGTTTCTATTTATTTTATTTACACAGAAGATTGTTCCAACATCATAATGTTGTTCACTAGTAAAAAAGGACATCTAATTCTTCCTTTACATTAAAAAGAAAAATGTGCCATCTCCATAATTTAAAATGCTGCTAAATGAATAACTGTGAATTGGTGCAGTTTGTTATGTTCCAACACAATCTGCTCTTTGGAGGAAGTTTAGATGGATACGATCAGCATGGGGATTGGATGTTTGATGTCGACAATATGTCATATGAGGTATTTGTATATTGTTCCTTATTCTGATTGTCTTTGCAATCTTTTTCGTAATTATATTCAAGTCTAGATTGAAATCAACTTTGTCGATGTCAATCTCTTTATGCCCTTTTGCAGGAACTGCTCAATTTGGGTGATAGGATTGGCTATGTGGGTACAGGGTTACAAGAGGATGAGATTTTTCGCTGCCTAAGGAAATCGAAGCACTCAATGTCAGAATCCTTTCCACTACTTAAGTCTACCGACAAGGATTGGAAGTGTAGCATTTGTCAAGTGAGTTCATCACACCTGTTCATCTTTCTTCCCATTTAATTTTTTGATAGAGTTGCATAGTTCCACTTGGATATGGAAATAAAACCTCGTCATAAGGATACTTGGACATAGACGAGACAAAAATGAGATTTTAGGTTTTAGGATCTATACTTTTTGCTAAACTTCAAATTTTAGGTGTCTTTCATAAGAAAATTTCAATGTGATGTTTAAATTCATCAGTCAAATATTCTGAAAATGTATCTTAGGTAACAAATCTGGGGATAATAGATGGCGCATTACATTGTGTATGATTTATAATTTCCCTGTGAGGGATTAAGCTTAGGATTCGTCTAAGCCCACCAATGAACTTTAAAAACATGACACAAACTCATACTCTTAACAACATTCATATGGTAGTTAAACAAGGTTATTGTTAAAAAACGCAGCAATTCTCACTTCTTGCTTATCCTTTTAACCTAGAGATGGTTACGAATGATAATGAACCGTAAAAATTTCTTTATTTCTCAAGATTGTAAGGTAGTGTGTGATGTGTAGCTAGAGGTGCTGTTATTTTCGTTCTGTTTTCTTTCTATCTTTTGGAGTGCTCCTTGTCCTCAGGTTTTCTTGTAATCTTTCTTTCTTATTAATAGTACTCTCTTATTGTTGTTGCTGATGAAACAATAAAATAAAATAAAATAAATGACCATAAAAATATTTGTTGTCACACAGGAGGGCTGGAAAGCAGATGATAAGATGGGAAGACTGGATTGTGGACACTATCATCATTTACATTGCATTAAAAAGTGGCTTTTGCAGAAGAATGCATGCCCGGTCTGCAAAACTGCAGCTGTAGCCAACAAATGAGGCCGGAACGCCTTTGAAAGTCATCTCCTTTCAACCAAACTAGTTTTGGATAGAAGTTTCAACTCTCTACTTTGCTCTATACAAGTACACAATTTTTGTTGTACCATTTAGGTCCCTGTTTACCTTGGCCTTCTGGTTCGAGTCAAGTTGCCAAAGGGGGGGGGGAAGGTGTGGGTTATTTTAATTTCCCATCAGATTTCAAATTGCTTCTAGTTCAAGAGGGGATAATGATTCTTGATTACCTCTGTTTTTTTTTTTATACAACTGTTAGTGTATATTAGTGTATCATTATGTAGTGCATTATCATGTTAGTGTAGCATTATGTTAGTGCATTATGTTAGTGTAGCATTATGTTATTGTTCATAGGCATCCAAGGCATCCTCTATAAATAGAGTGCCTTCTTTGTGTAATAGACATGTACAATTCATAGAAACAATTGTGCCTCTCTCTCTCTCTCTATTCGCTCATCTCTATCTTCTCTCACTTTCTCCAATTATTATTTCATGGTATCAGAGCACAGTGTTACATTTCTGGCAATTTGCGATTTTGGTGTTTAGTCCCATCCACAGCGGCACTACATCAAACCACTCGGAATTTCCTCACGATTCCAACGGCACCAAGCCCGGCCTCAAAAAACCTTTCACGCGCCCACACGCGCCACCAGTGTCCACTTCGCGTCACCATTTCCGCCACCACTCTCACACGCGCCCGCACGCGCCATCCGTTGTTTCTCCCTTCCGACACGCGCCTACACGCGCCCACACGACCCGCGACTGACGTCAGCCCTGCCTCTCCCGTACACCGCGCCTGCTACTGTGCGCCTCTCGTGCGCCGTTTCACTACTGTGCACCCGCGTGCGCCGAATCCGCTACCGTGCACCGCGTCTGCGCCTGCCGCTACCGTGCACCGCCGCTTCCTGCTAACGTGTTCCTTCCTGCACTCTGCTAACGTGCGCCTGCGTAGACCGCATGCTTTGCTTACATGTGTTCAAGTTCCTTTCTCTACACATTGCATGCGTAGACCACACGCTTTACTTACATGTGTTCAATTTCAAGTTTCTATACACATTGCTTGCGTAGACCGCACGCTTTGCTTACATGTGTTCAAATTTCTTCATACACATTGTGCACGTTGTCACGTGTTCTTTACTTACATGTGTTTGTGCCTTCACAGCATTGTTATGCGTCCCACTCAACTTGCGTTGTCACGCACTTTCGATTGCAAGTTATGCATATTGCTAACGATATCTGTAGCTGTTAAGCTTGCTTTCTTTTCAAGCATGATATTGTATGTACGGTTCATTCGAAGTTGGTGCAACCAGACGAACCGCGCAGGTATTGCATTCTCCGAGCGAGACGTATCGAGAATTACTTAATTCTCTTACATCCTTTCTGCATTGTAGTGTAATTTGGTGTATGTTAGCTTAAAACTGTCGCATGTTATGCTTCGTTACAGCTTTCTTTGCATGATCATAAGTTATGTTCGGCTTTGTGCATTGTCTTGCATTTTGCCCCTGCTTTCGGGCGCATATCTTGTCTGTCTTGCATGTTTGTCTAAGTCTTCGGCCTTGTCAAAAATGAGTCGTCTTTGGGCTTTGACATTCACTCCCGTCATTGCTATGACTTTCGAGTTCTGTCAAACAGGGGCAACTGTAGACACTCCATTTTTGACCGTCCTCAAGACTTGGACGTCACCGCTTGAACACTCGGTGACCATCCATGTTTGTGTTCGTCTTGAGTTCCCGGAGGCCTCGGCTGCGCGCCTTGCCTCAGAATCTCTCGACCCGACTGCTTTGTGTCTGGTTTTGCACCAAGAGCTTGTGGATGTGTTCCTGAGGACAGGAAGGAGCCTGTCGACCAAGTCTCCTGCCCACCGGCCACCTTGATTTTCAATCGGCCAAATATGATGGCCGGCCGGCCAATTTCACTGCCGGTCGACCACTTTGATGGCCGGCCGACCAAATGTGGTTTTCAATAGATATTTCTGCAGACAGCTGGCAGCTGTCATTCCAGGCCATACCCCAGCCCATGCCTGGACGTGGGAGTTCTGAGGGAGCTGCAGATTGATATATCTATATCAATCAAGCTCTCTCAAAGACAAAAAAGAGAAGAAGAGGAGAAGAGAGGAGAAGAGGGATACAACTTGAAAGAAGAAAAACATTTTTTCCTCTCTCTCTAAAAAAATTCTCAACTCTCTCCCTATCTCTCTCTTCCAAACCCTTCAAACCTTAAGGTTCTTGCCCCCCATTTACACTACCACTTATAGCCTACAACCTCCATACTCCATTCCAGCAACTTGAGGTTGATTTCCAGAGGCTAGAAGCTCATTTCCTTGGACCAAAAGCTACTGTGTTGTTGTTCTACAAGGGTAAGCTCCTAGGTTCCCCTTTTTTTGCACTATTTTGCTCTATATTTTAGCTCCTTTTGCTTATATTTTTGGGCTCCGACCCAAACTAGAGATAGTCATATTTTGAGCCCCTCTTCAACTTTGTTGAAGGGCTCTCCTCTGTTTGAGGTCAGCTGCTACCACTTGCCTCACTATCTCTCTTTTAGGGCCATTTTTGTATGATCGATTAGCCCTATTTATGTTCATTTTTGAGATTTGTTATAAATTGAAAAATATCTTGTTTTAATCTCATCTTCAAGTTTGTTTAAGGGCATTATTTATTTGGGGCCACATGCTTCCGTGAATGCTTGATTGTCCCTTATTTTGAGCCTTACACCTAAGCTCTTGTTGCATGCGTGGTTTGGCCCTCTAGCCACTGAAATCTAGTGGATTTTCAGTGGTTAGCACACTATTTTGAGCCTCCAAATCAGAGGGGGGTGACCCCCTCTCACCTTGACTTGTTTGGTGGTCATTTTTGGCCTTCCAAAGAGACCCTATCTTGCATACTTTGAAGTCACTTTCCAGGGTCAATTTGGTGAGTTTTGGGACCATCATATTTGATTTTCAGAGTTGATTTGGCTATGCTAAGTGTCCATCTTGTATATGCTTAAGAATCCCTTACATAGCCCTCTAAAGGAGCTCATCATTTTTGCATGTGTTGGCTTCATTTCAGTGGTTATTTGGGCCTATTCCCACATCTTTTGTTCACTGATTTTTTCTGGTTTGGTGAGATTCCATATGCTTCACACACTTGCCATGTAAACCATGTTTGCTAGTCAAAATTGCATGCTATTTTAGTCCATCTTGCTAGCACTTTTTGACCATGCTCTAAACTAGAAATGTGCATGTTTTGGGACTGCTTTGGCTCTGTCTTTAAACTTCATGATCAAATAATGCATACTTTGTATAGCTATAAGTCATCGCACATGCCTAGTTTTGAGTTTCGAGGCTTACCTCATGCATCGGGTGCCATATTTCCATGATTTGGGACTATTTTGTATCATATTTCAGTGCTGAAATTTGCATGTTTGCATACCATATTCCATGCCTTGCCATGCTTTGGTAGAGTGGCATTAGTGCCTTAGGTTTGCTCATCGGTTTGCGTGCATGCGTGCACGCATTTCGAGTGTCTCATCTTCATCTAATGGCCTCTTATGTGAGTGTGGCTGAGGTCCACTCATGTTGGTGTAAGTCCATTATGCATTGTGTATGCCATTTCATTTCATAGCATTGCGTATGCTAGGTTGTATGTTAGAGCATTGCGTATGCCTTGTTACATCGTGCATTGTGTATGCCATCTCATACGCACGCACATGCTAGGTTGTATATTAGTTGCATTCATACA